AATAAATAATAAACAAACCCACACCAACTACTTGCAAATCCATTACTCAGCCCAAGTGTTAGGTCAAATAAACAAGTGCAACAGTCAAAGTCCATCAGAAGTCTTCAACATCCAGGTCAAAGAAGTCCACATGGATGTTCATGGCTCCTCTGCTTTCTGGAGAAGGCACACTTGGGTAACAGGTCTACTCAGGCAACTTGTCTTTGTCTTTATCCAAACCTATCGTACAAGTCCTCCCTTATCAGGAACAGTCTCCACAACTCTACCAGTCAGCCATGAGTTGCGAGGTGCAGACTCATCCAAGATAATGACAATATCTCCTGGAACAAGATTCCTTTTGATGCTCTGCCATTTCTGCTGCTCCTAAAGCTGAGGCAAGTACTCCTTCAACCAGCGCTTCCAAAACAGATCGGCCATATACTGCACTTGTCTCCATCATCGACGAGCGTAAATGTCATCCCGGGAAAACAATCATAGTGGCAATGAGGGTTTGGATTTCAGAAGTAGTAGATAGTTTAGAGTCAAAGCTTCTAAATCATGAACATCAGTGGAGGCCTTGGGTATGGGGCAACTGTTAATTATTGCTTCAGCCTCACATAAAACTGTATGAAGACCTTCCTCATCAAGACTCTGGGTCCTCAACACAGAGTTCAGTACCTTCCATACAGACTTGATCAGACGCTCCCACACTCCACCATGATGCGATCCAGCAGGAGGATGAAAAATTTGCTTGATTCCTTTCTGAAGCAGTGTGTCACTGATCTGAGCATGATTCCATCCTCTTACTCCTTCTCTCAGCTCACGTTCAGTGCCAACAAAATTAGTCCCATTATCTAGACGCAGCTCCAACACCTGTCCTCACCTGGCGACGAACCTCAAAGAATCTCATGAGTGGATCCACTGGCTCACTGGCATCTGTTGCACTGACGGACACAAAGGTCCTGACCTCTGGATCATCTGGAAAGATCTTACTGAAGCCCTCTGGATTCTGCGGCCATTTCCTTTCAGGCTCCTGCAGAAACTTAGGTCCTGACACCCATGTATCAATCTTCAGAAAAGACTCCACATTGGTTCCTCTGGATTCTACATCCGCTGGGTCACTGTGGCTATCTACATACCTCCACTGAGATGATGTAGACAAGGTGTGTATCTCTCCAACTCGATTTGTCACAAAAGTCTTGAACTGTGATGTTTCGTTCTTGATATACTTCAGGACAGAAGTGCTATCAGTCCAAAAAACAAACTCTTGCAGTTCCATCCGTAACTCTTTCCTCCACAGTTTATCCATCCGACTTACAACCACTGCTGCTGTCAGCTCCATGCGAGGTATGGTAATGTGTTTGAGCGGAGCAATACGTGCTTTCCCCATTATGCATGCACAGTGCACCTGTCCTTCACAGTTGTTCTGCAACAGATAGGTCACCGTTCCAAAACCTTCTTCACTTGCATTACTGAAGTGGTGGAGCTGAATGCTTGTAGCTTCTCCAAAGTCTGCAGGTTTCAAGCACCAGTTAACTTCAAACCCTTCAAGGTGATCAAGTTCTTCCAACCATCCTGTCCACTCCTGAGCAACATCTTGTAGCAAAGGATCATCCCAACCAACATGTCTTCTGCTCAGTGTCTGAAGGTTCCCTTTGCAACCAATACAACTGGTGCCAAAAGGCCCAGGGGATCATAGATGGAACTCATGATCGATAAAACTCCCCTTCTTGTCAGAGGTCTGTCTTTAAGGATGATGTTAAATTTGAACAGGTCTGACTGCACACACCTCTGCACACCCAATACACGCTCCACTGGCAAATCATCGCT